AGGTGCTGTGTGAGGCACACAGGGGCTTATCTCATGTTACTTACCTGACTGCAGTCTGCCTCACCATAGCGGAGCCATGTCACAAAGTGCTCACAGTTGCTCTCAAGCAAATCATAGGTCACCTCCTTGTCAATGCAACTCTTCGCACGCTCAATGATCTCCTTCACTGGGAGGGGAGTGAAGGAGCGGTCATACTTGTTGTTGACCTCCCAGTCATCAGTTCCCACCACTTCCTTCAGGAGCTGCTTCTTCGCCTTGGCCTTTTTGGTCAATATTGTCACACTGCCAGCTGACAGGGGTGGGATGCTTTCATCTGGGGGAAAGCAGGAAGGAGATAAGCCAGGCAGAACCTGTCTGGCCCCTCCAAGACCTCAGATGGCTTTCTGGCTGCTCCTGGAAAAGCCATCTACACGCACAAGGTGGGTCCACCACCAGCCCACAGAGGGAGACAGGGCTCCTGGGGCACCACAACACCCCCTCTGCACCCTGCCAGGTTGCACCAGCCTTACCTTCAGCCGTCACATGAATAACATATCCATCCCCCAAGTAGAGGGCCCAGTGCTGGTAAACTGATCGCTTGATCTCGATCAGGTCCCCAGGCTTGGGTTGGTGCCTGCGGCGTGACATCCCAGGAGCCTTCGGTCAGGACACGGCGGTGCAGCTGGTCTGGCTCAGCGCAGGGCCCAGCGGAGCGGGGAGGTGTGGGGTGTGCAGAGGCACCTGCCGGGACGGCAGGCACGGAGGGTGTTAGTGCCGGGCACCGAGGGCATGAGCTGCCGGAGCGGCGGCCCCTCCGCGCTGGACCCGGCTCGGGGCGGCCGCTCCTGCCCGCTGGCGCAGGACAAGGCACGGAAGGGCCGCCGCTCCCACCCAGAGGATGAGGTCGGCTCCCCCGCCGCCGTCCCCGACTCCGCCGCCGCCCGGTCCCTGCGCTCCCGTCCCGCCCGCGCTCCCTTCGGGGCTCGGCTTGTGCCGCGGCCGATCCCGCTCCGCTGGCCGGACGCAGCTCCCCGGGGGTGCCCGCGGTGTCCAGCCCGTCCCCAGGCTCCGGGGCACCTCCGGCCTCTCGCCAGAGCCGCGATCGCCACGGGCCTCCTACGGGGCCGCATCCTGCTGGCAGACGCCCGCTCGCATCCCCCGCGCTCCGCTCTCTGCCCTTTCACATCGCCCCGCTCACCCTCGCCCTGTCCCGCTGCTTCTGCCACCGCGCTTCCGGCCCGCTCGAAAGGAAAGGGGCTGGGCACGCCCCGGGGAGGTGAGAAGGGCATAATTGTTCCCGGGGTCACTGCCTCCTCTACCCGGGAACCGTCCCGTCGTGTCCCGCCCCTCCCTTCGGGTCTCCGCTCCCGAGAATGTTGCCAAAACCACCTGTTGGGTGGGAATCGTGGTCCTGCCACCCAGGATGGCGTGCACCGCCACCCTGCAGGGAGCCTGTGCGTTCCAGCGGTGCTTCCTAGCACTCCTTCACAGCACTGACTCTGTGCCCTGTCACTCCGCAGGACGTTGTCTTGCAGAACAAGAACCCCTGGCTGCTGATTGAAGCCTGGCTTGGGAGCTGCTGTACTGTTTCAATAATTTCTGTGTCTTTCTGTCCACATACACCATGGAGGAGAAAATGCCAGGAAAAGCCAAGCTGCAGTCACAGGAGGTGCTGCCGATGTTCATCCTGCTCCCTCTGTGGCCCCCGATACCGGGGGGAAAACAGTGTCTGCAATAAAGTGGCAGAATTTCCTTTCCCATTACAGTCTCTTTCAAAACTTCATCCTAATTTTGCTCTGTGTACTCTGCCCCAACTCCTCTCCATGTACATTGTCCTCTGGAAACAGCCACTGCCTTCTCCAGGGCCAACACAAGTCCCTGCTCTGAGGTACCCTCAAGTGCTAAGCCAGCTGTGCTCCACCATGGGATCAGCTACATGCAAGGCTTGTGTTTTCCTGATTCTCCCTCCATCAATTACTGCGTGGGTAGGTGTGATGGTGGCACCAATGACTGTGGGTACATAGGAGCTCCTCTCCTGCTCTTGTTAATCTCCTCTCTTTCAGCCTGTGGAGTGCTGGGACGAGGGGCTGCCCAGTGCCATTGTCACTGGCATTTCCCAAGTTGGCCCATGGGTACACTCCATCACGTGTGGCTGTAAAATCCTGTCCAGAGGCTTTTAAAATCCTAACATACACAATCACAAACACAATTATGCTTTTGGTTTTCCCCCTCAGAAAGAGGGGCAAGAGACTTTTTCTTACACATTCCTTACACAATTTTTAATCTATTACATTATTTTAATATTTATGATAATCTAGCCTGTCAATTACAGAAAACATAATAATATAATACTATAATAATAAACATGCAGTTGCTTGCTTTGTAAAAGTTGTCTTACAGTCTCTAAAATCATCTAGTTAGCTTGCTCAGGCCTAATGCCAGCAATC